TAGTTTTCTGAGTTCTGATCTCCTTGTTTTGAATTCTGAGCACGTCTTCGACCCGGGCTTTGGTTTTGCCCACTGGATTGTCCTGCCTTCCATCTTCTGCCCGCATCTGGTCTCCTGCTTGTTTTCCATCCTCCGCGGCTGCGGCGCAGATGAGACATTCTGGGTGAAACCCACCACGTCTTGTTGGCAGCCACCGGCTGGAACCTACCTTGTTCTTTGGGAAGGACTGAACTTTGGGATCAGGGTTCCTGCCTTAGATGTCCTTGCGTTTTTGTAGATCCTTTTTTTAAAAAAAAATCTTTTGAATTATCTGACTGTCTGTCTGCTTTGATACTGGGTCCCCTGTTCTGAGCCCTGACACTCATCATGCTATTTTTTTTCTGTTTTCTGTTTTATCTTTTAAATTAATCCTATACTTCCCTGCTTTGCTTTTAAAATGTAATCTTTAAAAAAAAAAATGCATTTATTAGATTATATTTACTTTTCCTAACTGTACATTAAATGTTATCTGTAATAATAAGCAAATCTAAATTATGTTTTCGTGACTGATGTCATTTCACTTTAAGAAGGGAGTCCCTGTGGAGTACAAAGATGTAAAGCTGTTACAGTATGACACGTTCAAACCTACAGTTCGCAGAGCAGATAGAAAAACAAAAACAAAACTGAAGACTGAGCAAAGAAAGGGCAGAAAGAAAAAAGGACAGTTCCACCCACTTTTCCCAACATTGGAACTTTGTAACCATATTTTGTGACTTTTCAGACTTTTTTTACAGAAATATTACCAGCATTTAAATGAAAAACAGTTAAACTATTTCTGAGTATGTTATTCAGAATTATCAATTAACAAAAAAACAGGCAAAAAAAGGGCTGTACTAATTATTTGCTGGATTTGACTGTACAGTATTGCAATTCGGAACATGTTTAATTTCTTGTAAGGTGCGTAATACCAGGTTATGACTCCTTTAAAACAGTGGGACTCTTTAGCCATGATCAACCTTCTTTTTAACAGGTGTGTATCCTATGCGCGTCACTGGATTCACTAATGTCTGACACATTCCTCTCATACACTCAGAACTTAAATGTCATCCCATTCTGTCCTAAATGTCACTTCAATTGAAAGTCCCTCTGCCTCAGTTAAAAAGTAAAGGCTCAAAAAAGATCACTGTCGTTTTGTGTGACCTGCAGCTCTTACATGTGAATGCAGAAGGTTAACCCTCTCTACCTGCTGGAAAGACAAATGCTTAGTCACTCTGAAACTACATAAAGGAATTAGCTAATTTTCTGGACCTTCATTTTTTATTTTTTTTATTAAACCTTTATCTAACCAGGGAAAAAAATCCCATTGAGATTAAAAACCTCTTTTTCAAGGGAGTTCTGGCCAAGTGGTAGCAAGGTAAGAAACATGGATACATTAAAATAAATGACATGTACATTGAAAAACACAACACATCAGGTAAAACAATTACAGATCATTGAGGCTGCTTCAAATTCTTTCACTTTTAACTTAAATGTATTTAAAGATAAAAACTCAGTCAACTTCCAGTTTCTTTGTAAAAAATTCCACGCACAAGGAGCTGCGTAGCTAAAAGCTTTCTTCCTCTAGTTCTGTGCAGGCATGACATTAAAGCGAAAGATTCCAGAAAAGGTGACATGTCGACTACCTCCTGTATGCATTGGCAGTGAAAATATGATGATAAAAACCATTAAAGCAGTCCGATTCAACAATATGAAGGGTAAATAAAAGCTTTTTTCCTAATTAATGGAGTTTTCTAATGAAATACTGTTTATTCCCTTTTATTGGGTAGATTTTATATTGGTAAATGGTGGGTCATGGGGTAAAAAGCTTCAGGCATTTCAACTCAATGCCAAATCAATGCCAACATTTGATAAACTAAAATATACCAGGATTAAATCATTTTTAGCTACTTTTGTGCCAAGTATAGAACGATTAAAATCCTTTTACTACTATGCTTATGTTGCTGACGTAACGACAGCCAAATTAAAATGTGAGTTAAGCAAAAAGTGTAGCTCAAAAACAAGCCTAAATTTAAACCGTGGTTGTTGAAATTAGCTGATACACAAAAAGAGGATTACTCTGGTAAAGATTACACTATAATACAGTACTGCGGTATGTTTATATTTTATTGCTGTCATTTCAGATTGCAATTTTAAGAAAAATTAAGCTTTTTATTTGGGGGTATTCTGTCAGAAGCAAAAAAAATTATAAAGTATAAAATAACTAACAAGGATTTAGTAAAAAGTAACTGGTGGGGGCGTCCATTTTTGTATAGCAATCTTTTCTAGACATAGAGTCACACAAAACACTAACCCCCAAACAAAACAGTGTTGTTCTATTAGCCTTTTCTCCCCAGTGAATCAATTAAATTTATTTGATTCAGTTTGAAGGTTGAGTTTTCCAGAAATTTCCTCCATGAATTAATGCTACTGGAATAAAAGGTAAATGTACTGGACTCCATAGTCAGTTTGTCACCTCGGGCTGTAGGTTGAAGAAACCAACCGACAGTCAAGCACATGTTAACGTATATTAAACCCCCCATGGACTTCAATAATTTATCACCTTATCTGCTGGAAAATGCACTGTTAACACAATGATTACACACTAGACAAATCCAAAGCACCAAGCTTGATTAAAGAAAACCAAATACTGTTTAAAGGTCCAATTTTTAACTGTCATCACATAAGTGCAACTTTAATCTGTGCTGCTCCAGTGCTTCATCCTCTGATGAATTGCCTCTAATTGACAGCTCAGTTGCTCGTTTATAAATCCGGTTATTTCTGAATGTCATCCAGTGAGTTAAAAATTAGTTCAAGGATACAACAGCAACAACGTGTTATGTCTGATAGTCACTGTTTTTATTGGCATCAGCGACAGAGTCATGGATAAAAGCAACATCTTCTTATGTGTCATAATAAGCAGTACAGAAAAAAATATAATGAATTGTAGGACTGAGATGACACTTGAAATAAAGCGGATGATGCAAGTACTGTAGTAATACTGCAGAATAAAATGATTTTATTCACTGAGACAAACAGATATTTTTAACATTTGTGGACCTGATCAAGAGTGGCTAAGTTGTTATAGGTGTTGGCTGGATTAGTCACCATGAAAGGTTAGACTTGTGGTCTATGGATCATAGGACAGACTTCTGCTCTTCTGCAATGATTTGTTACTGACCTTAGGGGTAGTCAGTCAGGCCAGAGGATTGTTTTTCCTTCTCTGTGCGTGTCTTCAAACCTCAACAGACATTGATCTGATATACAATGACAAGGCAACAGGACCGAACAATAAAGAAATGTCCATTTTTCTTCATGCTTATTCTGTCCTTCTCTCTTCATGCCTTGAGCAAAACAGTGGGGATGACTGAACAGAGGAATCCCCAGAAGGATTAACATGACCAATTTAGGGATTTTAAACTCAGAAAACAACATTTGACATTAGTCTCACCTGTGTCTTTCTTTAACTTAGTCAAAAGTAATGTATTCCATGTCAACCTAATAAACATCAAAGAAATAAAATAAGAAATTGAAAACTGTTTTTGAAGGCGGCTGGTGGAGTTTTCTCCACTATTTTACAAACCTAATGAAGCGATGTACCTGTTTAATAATGGAGAAGCTCTGAGTCAGCTTTATATTTTTTATATTGCCAGCATTAATGTATTTCTTTTTTCCTTTAATGTCATAGACAAATGTTTTAAAAACTTGCTAACTACAAGAGCCCAAGTCCCTTTTAACAAGTTACAAGTCCCTTTTAACAGGAAGAAACCTCTAGCAGAACTAGGCTCTGGGTGAGCGGCCATCTAAGTTCTTTGGTGCTCGGGCCCCAGGGATGGAAAGTTACAGGGTAATTCCATAGGTTTCCTCAGAATTGAGTGATTCTATATTTTCTTCCCTCTGCTTGGTCTAAAAGAGTAACCATTAATGACTACCACATTTTTTTTCATCATTCCTTTTATTGTTTCTTAAAATCAAAACAGTTGCCATTTGAAATGACTCTAATTTTGTGTCATGATCTGCTTTTTTTCTACAAAATTAAACAACTAAATAAAACCCTGCCGAGGCCGGTGATTCCATAATCTTTGCCAGGGTTTATATTTTAATCTTGTTTTAATAGTGCTTTTTCCCTTATTTGGCTGTGGTTGCCATGGTAACGAATACATGTCATTCATCCCTTTAAACATAGTTTTAAAGATCTGGATTTTTTTTTACATACTCCATTTTTGGATGTGCCATACACAGATTTTTGGCGTGGATTTTACCCAATGATTTGTACATGAGAATCAATATCTTAGTCCAATAAACAATGTGTGGGAAGAGCTAAATAAGAAACAGAAACTTTTTTTGAATGATACCACTTATACATGCTCCTTTTATCTTTAGAAATATGCTTGTGTCATATTCAGCCAAAAAAATTCTAGGGAATGAAAATAACTTTCACATTAAATCTGCCGTGTCTATTTATAAATGTGAGCTTTACTGTTCCCTATATGACTTACAGCTCAAACCACAGCAAAGGGTGGATTTCCAGATTAGTCTCTCAAAGAAGGTTGAGAAAAAACTGAGACAGCACATGGTTTTATTTGCAGACAAATTTCTATTTCAACATTCTACTTTGTTTTGGTTTAACATATAAAATCTTTATAAAATCATGTTTGTGGGTATAAACGATTTAGCATACAAGCATATTACCTTTATGTTTTTATTCAGAATATTATTCTCATATTTTTTCTTTCCAAGAGACCTCTTTCTCATGTATATTTTTTTATTTATTTTCAATCTTCCCTGCTCCTATTCTTTTTTTCTTTTCTTTTTTTTCTCATCTGACTGCTTAGAGAGACTCACTCGAACACACAGCCAACAGCATTCAGCATCCAGAGCAGGAGCAGATAGACAGTGACTGAGGAAACAAGGGAGGGGGTGGTGCAAGATAAAGAGTGAGTGAGTAGAGAGAGAGATGAAAAGAATGCTAAGCGAGAGCGAGGCACTCATACAGGAGGAGGCAGAGGCAACAGCTACAGCAACAGCTCGCTCCTTCCTCAGCCATCCTTTCCCTTCCTAAATTCCAAATTTATGTCACTAGAAGACGAAGGGGACGCTGACTTACTGAAGAGCACTGGTTGAAAGAGAGGTTGGTCTCATATGATCCTCTTGAATGTAAAAGGCTTTCATCTTTCCTGGGGTCACGTTAACCAACAAGGAGTAGAAGGAGGTGTGAAGTGGGCACAAGCCTGTTGCCATTTAAGAGGGCAAGAAGGAAAACCGGCAATAGGACAGGAGTCAGAGGAATGTTTGGAAAGCCGAAGAGTAAGACCCACTAAAGGAAAGATCAGAAGATCACATCGGTGAGGTTCTGGACTGACACTGGCAACCCGTGGGCCAGGAGGAGAGGAAATAAGATCTGCATAAGCACACAGCTGCACAGATGAGGAGGCACCAGGGACCACGCTTCAGTCCTGGGTATGTTTACTTACACACATGCACACTCACGCACAGCTGGGCATGAATATGACTCTCATTGGTGGAGTGTTTTTTTCAAATAGAGCTCAGAGCCATTGGAAACAAAACTGCATGTTTGCTGATCTTTTATGATGACGACTACCAGCACTGACAGGACTCCCTACTCGCCCTCAGATACTCACAGCAAAAGAGAGAAGATAATGCTTAGAAGAGGTCATGTGTATCTTTATGGTCATGCTCCCTTTCCTGATTGGTAATTTTGGAACCGGGAGGAGTTTTGAGTGATATATGTAAATAAGCCTCCACTGGTGGAACGTTATGTTTCACGTCTCTGGGCAGAAATCTTTTTCTGGCTCATTACGTTAACTTTGAGCCTAAGTTATGTTTTCAGTACACAGTGTGCAGCCCTGTACTGAGGCAAATGGAAAAAAAAAATATGAAAGCTGGGCACAGGCTCACATTCTTCCCTTCTGGACTCCTCATGTGGTAACATGACATGAATTTACCTATTGTGTAGTGTCCCATTACATGCTGGACTGTAACACCATGGAGTCTGCATGGGCTGTTCAGCATTGCACTGAGTCTTGCTTTTTCTCCTTCATCAATTCTCGTTCACAGTCCTCTTTCTTTCACCATTTCCAATTACAGGCTGTCACCTCTCCCCCTTCCCCTCTGATCCTATCTCCTGTTGCATTATCTTTCCAAGCAATTACCTTCACCAGAATCATTCCCTTTGGACACCATGGCCGACTAGTTTCCTATTTGCCCCTCCGACGAATAATGTGAAGGATGAGAGAGGAATTCATGGCCATGTTTTAGAGATCAAGAACTTTCATTACAAAAAGCGACAAGTGGAAAAAATGTTCTTTCCATGTATGTCAGCTTAAAACTGACCCAATACCTGTGGCAAATGTTAATGTTCATATGAAGAACAGAGCCTGTTGTGATCCAGGCATCTCCCTTTTTTTCCAGTTTGGGTTTCTGACTTTATCTTTGATACAGTACTCCCTTCCTGACAGCAATCAGAAACAAAGCAAGCTTCTCTTTACTGACTAAAAGACTTGTCAGAGAGCTGAAACCTCTTTGTTCATGTTTTTTTCTTTGAACTCTCTATCTGTGTTTTAAAGGTTTTTATAAACTTACTTTGTAATAAAAACAGTTAGATTTTGTGTGTTATGCCAAATCGAACTGAAACCAAGTCATTATATTTTCACTAACCACTTTATACCTTTTTCTAAGATGGGGTTAGTTGCCTTCCAAACTGAATTTTTCTCCTGTAATGGGGTTAAGGCTGTGCACACTGTAGCCTCAGAGGAATAACAACTGTTCTTGCCCATCTCCTTCAAAGTCTATCATACAATAACACTATGCTGCATACCGTGTTGTAATGACCATCACTTTTGCTATTGATACCTTTATTTATTTCAAACCAATCTCACCGTTTTTCTTTGACTTCTGACATTAAGAAGGTTTATTTTTTACACAAAACAGTTTCAACCAAGTGAAATCCAATTTCACAAGACAAGGCAGTTGTTGTATATGTCTAGGATGGTGGAAATTTATGACACATTCAGAATGTATCTCAATGTCTTTAGTAAATAGAAATTAAACTGTCTGGTTTGTACCAAGGACAACTTGTCACTGCAGTGTCTGGGTGAGTTAACTTCAAAAGATTATTAGCTCTTCTACTCTATGGAGTGTCAAACCTCTGATTGATTGGAGAATTTCAGGTAGAACAGAGTAGCCCGCTACTACAAAAAGGCCCACATATGAAGCTGTGATTTTTACACCAGAACACCATACGTATCGTTTCCTGGACGGGGCCGCCTTTTACAGTTGCTTTTTGTGTCTCTGCTTCCGTCTCCTTGAACCCCAGTCGACCTCGGGGGATTGCCGCTCACACTGAGCCTGGTTCTGCTCGAGGTTTCTTCCTGTTAAAAGGGAGTTTTTCCTCTCCACTGTCGCTACAAGCATGCTTAGTGTGAGGGATTGTATTTGAGTCAATGAGTCAATGCAATCAACTGGTTTTCCTTAGATAGAAAACTTTGTATCAATTTGACTGTATGATCTTGTTGAACTGTAAATTGCCTTGAGATGACGTGTTGTGAATTTGGCGCTATATAAATAAACTGAATTGAATTGAATTGAATTGCTTTGGTTACTACAGTTCTCTGTAAATCTATACTATAAGTTAAGTTACAACATAACCTTTACTTTAAGGCAGATATTTACACAAACTAATAATAAAGCAACAAATGATGGTATATACAGCTACATTAGGGTAAAGACAGTTTTATACTTCTTTGGAAGAATGAAATGCACTACTATATGAAGCCTTTTTAAAATGAATATGGATAATATTTAACATTGACTTTTCCATTAGACACAATCATTTCTCATAACTTTCTAAAATCTGGAATAACTGGTGACACTTTGTGGACATAATCCGATTTCAGATCTCAGAGGCAGGACAGGTTGCCCTACGGATCCCAATCAGCTGTTATATGTTAGTGGCTGTTATTGTGTAAATAGAGATATATTTTTAGTCAGCCTACAGCATTAAGATCAATATCTGGGAATTGATTCACTCCATGCTTATCATTGCTCAATTTTCTCAATTTGTCTTTTTTGGATCAACTGGTCTTTTATTGTTATGCCCTTTAGCTGGAGCTAGAGTTAATGGTGGGTTTGATGAACAGCCTTTAATTCTAATTTGTATCAACGGGTAACAGAGACCAAGACTTTCACTGTTTTAGTTCCTGGAACATTTACCGTTACCCCTCATGACATTTTCAGATTTTTAGAGACTTATTTTAGATCCCTGGGGTCCGCTTTGAACTTGATTAATACTCTATCCTAGGGATGTTTCCAACTGTTTTAAATGTACTTCATTCATAGACCATTCTCCAAACAGTGGAAGGGCTTATTTCAAATTCTTTCCAGACCCTTTGAAATCTCCAATCAGACTTACTGCTGCAACCTTCTATGTGAAGAAGTGAGACAGCTCTCTCAATCTGACACTGCTTTCTCCCACTTTGATTTTTATAGGAACATGCCAAGCTAAAGTTCAGATATTTAAACAATGCCAAGCTCTGGCAATATTTAATGATGTTTTTATAATGATGTCCCCCTGATGTGGGTCATTGTAAACAATTTTATTTGGAAATTCAAAGTTAAAATGATATCATCTACTTTATAACAGATACCGTTTCCTGTTTAATTTTGTTGAATATTTAAAATGTCTTTTCTTTAGTTTTTATATATTTTGGTCAGTATAATCTTTTGTATTAAGATTAAGTTAGATTTAATGTTCTGCATTCATGTATCCAAATGTGATTTAGAAAAATATTACAGGATCTTGTAGAGTTTTATCTTCTTTCTTTCTTTTTTTTATATGACTATATTTATATGTTCAGTTGTAAAACATATCTTTGTATTTAAATTCTAAGATTTATATCAGGTCTTTTTTGGTTAAACCAGATTTTACCCTCTCTTTGCATTGAAATATATTAATTACTAAATGCTAAACTTAATTGAGCTTTTTAATTGCATATATTACATTAAAATCTTTAAAATTGTCATTTGGGTGGGAAGCTCTAAATGATATTGAAACATTTTGCAGGTTAAAGGTAGCCCAGTTAACATAACATTGTATTTTGCTACATTGACACTTTAATGCTTTCCATAGAAATACATCAGGGAGGATGGCTTCTTCAATCCTTTTGAGCTGGATTTATTAGCTACACAGCCACACAATGAGCCAAAATATTTGATACAACAAGGCAACTCGAAGGTTACCTCCTTTCTTACTTCAAAATTAGAATCTCAAACACATAGAGATAGATGCTATTACATAAAGCTTCAAGCTTAATATGAGCTCAGCATCATATCTGGGGTACATTATAATGGTTAAGACTTGTTTTACCAGATGAAAAACATATTAACACCATTTGGTTTTGCAAGTAACAAAAACAGTTCTGTTACTTTTATCAGGATTTGTAACGTAAATTTGGTAACGTTATTGTTTCAGGTGGATTATGGCAAATTGGTTAAGCAAAGACAATTATATCTAGGTGGAATAATATCTCACTGCAGGGTTTGAAAGCCAACACGGGAAGATGATGTGGTGAACACAGCAGGTTAGGAGCCCAGGAAGGAAAAAGCAATTATCGTTTGTACTGGAGGTGGCATGAGAGATAACACAAAAAAAAAAAATCCAATGTGGGCTTAACTGGGAGGGGATGACTGGGAAGGTGAACGGAGGGGGGCTTTTGATGTCAACCAGTGAGCCGTTTGTGTGTGTTTAAGTAAGGATGAAGACCAACCTTGAGCAATGCATCGCCGGCCTTAAGATGTCCTACATGGAGGATTGCTCCCATTACATCTTTGGAGCGTGATTGAGGTGATTTCACGGACAAGGACAAAGTCTCCTCACCCACAGATCTGCAGCTATCTAATACACTTCATTCTAATCAACAAATGCAAAAACAAGCAATAATACAGGGCTTTATTAAAGTAAGGAATCAGAGTGCGGAGTTATGGGTTCCTTTAAATGTGACCGTGAATTCAATGGTCATGCCGTCTGTATAATTCCCCATGGTTGGGAGTGTGCTTGTGTTATTTGGTGAATCCATGGAGATTATAAGGCTTTAGTGTCAAATATATGGAGCAAAATAAAGGGCATGATCCCAGTCTGTAATAAAGGAGCAGACATTTCACTCTTGTCAAATCTCAGGATGTGGGTCCTATGCTGCCCTGCAGCCCCAGCCTCCTCCAATCTATTGCAGCCGTCTGGCTTCACCACCTCCCCGGCCTTCTGCTGCTTCCCTGTTTTTCTTTGCCCCCTTTATGAAAAATAATTCTCTCACATACAGCCTTTCCCTCATGCAACCCGTCCTCTTTCTATTTTGCTTACTTTAATTTACTTTCCTAGTGCAGCCTTTTTCGTGGATGTGACCTTGGGGCTTCAGATTCTCTTGTTCCACTGTGCTCTTGGTCTC